CCATATTGCTGTCGCATCTGGTTTTGTGCCTTTGCTATATATTTAGAGATTCTTGATAAAATTCTCAAAATTTTCGGTCCTGACCTGGAATCTCGGCATCTGAATATGCTCATGGTAATTGTTCTAATAAGCTTTTTGCTTTAGGAATTTACGCGCAGTACTAGATTGGCAGATAGGTCTCAGCATTCTGCAGTTGAAATTGCTGGATGTAACCGTAAGTTCTATGCTAACAGCTTCTTTTCTCGGATTTCTCGCTTGTGGAACTGTCTTCTGATTTTCACAAATTTAAATGCAATGTTAATCGTTATCTTAATTGCTGTCCTTTTATTGTTCTTGGCTTTAAATAACGTTCTTGTTTTTCTTATAATCGTTCGCACTCAGTAACCCCTTGCGTCTCGTCTTAGTGGTATTATCGCCTTGCTTGGGGTGGAATGATTAAAAGAAAATAAAAAACGACCACAAACACGCATGCACACAATTTGAGTTTGAAATTAAACACAGTGATTCCCCTTCTACTTAGTCTGGACAACCCTTACCCTTGGGTGAGCAATAAAACAAAGTTGACAAGAAAAAAAAAAAGAAAAAAAAAAAAAAAAGAAAAAAAGAAAAGTTAATTTTTGAACGGTAAAAATTCAAATAGTTATAAAATTTTATTGAACTTTTGGGAAATTATTTGGTAGCAAATCGAATTATTTTAAAAGATTTTTAAAAAAATTTGTAGAAATAATTTTAAGGTCATTCGTTGAATCAAAATAATATACATATGCAAATTAACATATACACACCACACACACACAGTTTCAATGAAACTGAAATGGACATCTGTGGCACGTGGGCTAATTACCCTGTCAGGCAACAACCCCTGGGTAGCAATAAAAAAAACAGTTACCATCAAAATGGATGCGTTTTTTTTTCGAAATAAAAAAAAACAAAAAAAAAAAAAAAAAAAAAAAAAAAAAATTCGATTTTAAAAAAAAATACCAACAATCTGGTTTTGTTTAGCGGCATATCAACACCTCTATGGGTTATTTAATATCGAAATATAAAAATGTGAATACAATTTATGCCTTCAACTATAGATAAAGTGTATTAGAGGTAATTTTACTATAAATAGGTATTTTTGGTAATTTTTTTTATATATATAAAGATTATTGCTGATATTTTTACTATAAAAATATATTTATATTATACTTTCATAGTGTTTTGTTTTTGTTTGGAGGGGGGGTCACTATTGCTGTGACACTAAAAGGTGCGACCAAATCGGTAGTACCTTGCTGCCGGATGTAGTTTATTGTCATGTTCTGGGAATTTTCATTTAAAAAAAAATATGAACGAATTGTACAGTAAATGAGTTATTTCATTAGAAAATTGGTTGAAATATTTATGTAGTTCCAGTTTCTCCTCATTTGATCGATGTCTTCTGTGTAATTTTTAATTTTCGGGGTTGTTTGAGAAATATTTTATCTCTATCTATAAAAGGCAGGATGTGTGTGTGTGTGTGTGTGTGTGTGTGTGTGTGTAACGAATGCACAGCCGCAATTTTCGACGGATTTGCACCAAAATCTACATGCACATGCTCCAAGTTAGAGGAAAGGCCAAGACAGACTATGCATTTCCCAACTCCCATCGATAGTGGAAATAATCGATTTTTCATGCTTCTACGGCAGTTTTCATGTAGTTTGCGGCCATTTTGTACTGGTCAGAGTAAGAGCCAACAGCTGACTGCCACGAATGTTAACTAGCATGCAAAAAAAATCGATAGCTGCATTCGTCACAAGTGGGAAAAATTTAAATCTGCATGGCACTTTACTCCAACTGGCTCATTCGCTTGCTTAAACTCAACGTTGATTCTGATTCCGCAGAACTGGGTTGGGTGTGAAAAATTATTTGTTGTTAACATTCTTTTTTCATTCGGTTTTTCCAGTTACGAGTCCTTTTTTAAAGCTGATCGTTTTGTGTTAATTTTGTTTAGTTCTTTTTTCGTAACAGATTTAATGTTTATTATAGGGCTTAGAAAAAGTTCGCAGTGTGAGATAGGCAAGAAGTAAGGCATGTAGCAACATCAGCACGGCAAAGGGCACTCCTTTAAAGGCAAGTAAGGGCAAAAATATTTTAAGTCAAGTGATAGCGATTGCTGTATGAGTCGTACGATTTTTGAATCAAGCACGGGCAACGCCGGGTCATGTTGCTAGTAATCTAATAAAACAATTTTTCTTTTAGGTCTGAGAGGGAAAAAATCTACACAGAATATTCATCGACAAAAATTGTGATTTTTCAGTACCATTTTCAAATTGATCTCGTTGATGTTAGTAACAAGAGATTTTTCTTTAATATTAAATAAAAGACAAGTTTGAAGAACCGAAAATTGTAATGTTTAATGCAATTTACGTGAGAACATTTTTAAAAGAATTTATTTTACAGCTTTGAAGTATATGACAAATGGAAAACCGCTTCATTGGAACTAGATTACGCGTTTCGCCCTTCTAGGCTTCATCAGATCAAAACGAAATAAAGAGATATGTATGCATTAAAACACACACACACACATCTGTATCTATTTTGTAGATAAGCTAAATAATTTTTATTTAACTGCTCTGGTTCTTGCCCCACACACCAGCCGGTGTGCCACGGCAAAGTCCTTTGTCCCCTTCTCCTTTTAGTGCAATGGGAAATTGAACCTACAAGCACAATCTGAGAATAATTTTCTCGACATACGCTACTAAAGTAAATGAAAATATACCTAAAGATTTTAAGAGCTCAGTGGGCCGCATGAACATGAAAATATTAAGTGGGCCGCAGTGCGACACGCAGTGCGACCCGCGGTTTGGACGTCCCTGAATAAGTCATCAATTTTCCTTTATTGCAGTACTTCCTTTACTTTAATAAATTTTCTTAAAAATCAGAATAATTTAAAAATTAACGTATTGGACGCAGTTAAATATTTTATGACATCAAATAGGTAAGAAAATAATTGTAGTGATAAAATAAGCATATCCTATCTCCTCTCTCGCTTATAACCATCCATCACAATAAAATAAATGTTCTTCAGCACTAAAGAAGAATGAGTCAAATAAAGCTTCGCAAGCTACTACTTAGAATTCTTACTATATTACAGGAGTGGCCAAATCGCGGCTCTGACCTTTAATATGCGGCTCGTGGAAATATGTTTGCTAAGCTCCTTTTTCATCACAGTTGATATAGAAAGGTAAATAAGAACAATTTAGAGCTTTATAATTTTTTTTACTGGGTATGAATTGAGACCCCGTTGGATTAAAAGTTAAATATTTATGGATAGTCAAAATATTGAAGAATTTAAATCCTAATTTCATGTGTTGCGGCTCTCAAACATTTAAACATTATCATATGTGACTTTTGGTCACCCCTACTTTATTACAATAATCAACAACAAATGCAATTAAGAATTAAGCTTCAAAGTATCTGTAGTGTGAATGGCAAATAGATTTTTTACCTATTTGCATATATTATTTATAAGATAAACAATGTATAGACTAAAGAGTCAGACGACAGGAAGTTGATTACACTGATCACATGTCGTAAAACCACACTATACAACAGTATCATTTAGTTCGTAAATAATTAATTTTTTATACTTTTAAAAATGTAATATAAAAATAAAATTAATTCTACGAGGTTCCATAAAAGCGTATAGAATAAAAAAAAACATTCTTAAACTATTGATTTTATAAAGTTAAAGATAATTCATTTGTAATTAGAAACAATACCAAATTCTAGATTGTAGTAGTTTATCCTTTAAGTTTTTTAAAATGTTACGCGCGCTGTTCATAACCTATGATGTTAAATGACAATACAACAGCTACTGTGCGTAAATAAACGTCATTTTCGCTATATTTTTTCAGCAAAAAGTATGCATTGCTTTTACAAAATACAGGTACAATTCATACAATTTACTAATTTAATTTAAAACAAATCTCAAGGACAAACACTGAATTTTTTAAATTTTACTTTTTTTAATTTTTTCGTTTTCGATTGATGAGTGACCGTGTTTTAAAATGTCTAAAAATTTTATGTAAATTTATTTTTTTTCTTTGTTTTTACAGATTATCTTTCAAATAAATCAGAATTTAAAGAGGATATTTAAATTATTTAAAATGCATATTTTTAAGAAGTCCGTGACGGTTCGTATTAAAAGAGTAAAGCGAAATGTGCCACCGTTTGAAGCGATTTTTATGAATCCGTCTGTATTTTTAAACTATTTTCTAGATGGAGCATTTTAAATGGACAAACTATTTAGAATTTAAATTTGAATATCTTGCCTTTGGTGAAGTGACAGGTACCAAACTAATACTACTAGTAGTAATAATAGTAGTAGTAGTAACCCTAAATGAAGCGGGGGGAAAACAATAAAAAAACAGACAGGTTTTAAAGCTGTAGAAATATAGTGTGGTGTGTGTAGTCTGCTGACCCAATTATTCAGGTTTAATGACAATTAGGACAGGTTAAAATTCATCATTCTTTCTCTTCATTGTGAAAGGAATTCAAAACGAATTTCGGACAGTTCATTAATGCAATTTTTTGCATTACTTGTAAGCAACAACATTTTTTAAATAATTAGAATTTTAAAAATAAAATGTTAAAAAAAAAAAAAAAAAAAAAAAATCTGTGTAAGTTGAGAAAATTAGAGTGGTCTCCCCTTGGTAATTTTAGCGGTCGCGAAATTGGTTCAGGAGAAAGAGTGAAAAAAGATAAAGTTTCTTTTTGTTGTTGTTGAAAGAGATACGCTTTTATTTTATTACAAATCGATTAGTTTTCAGCAAATAAGAAAAAAAAAACTCCAACAACAAATAAGAAGACAACAATTTTAAAAATCTATATACAAGAATCGTAAAACAAATACAAAGTAATAAAATGTATTATTTTTTCGAAAAAACGTAAAAAAATAGAATTAAAATAATAAGGAAAAACAAGGGGAAAAGAAATTCAAACAAATCAAAATCAATAGAAAATAAATAAAATTTTACCGATAGAACTTGAAGAAAAGCAACACAAACAGACACCAAAGGAGAGCAACTGTAATATCCATAATGGTTGAAGCGGTGTAAAATACTTTTTATCGCAATGTAGTAAAAGTCCAACAACAACAAAAAAATCCATCCAATTTAATCACCGGCACTGAAATCCGTTGGTGTACACTTTCCTTGTGTACTTACTTCTAAAATCAAAGTTAATCTCACCCTTAGAAAAAAAAAAAAAGGAAAAAAAAAAGAAAAAGGGTGGAAAGAAAAGAAGAAATAACTGTCACTCACGAACACTTACGTCGGCTTTTGGGGGAAGACTAATGCTCTGCCCACCGATGTATTTTAATATCTTTTAGCTTGACATTTCGATTTGACAGTCATTTTTTAGCTGCATTATTCACTGTATGTCTCTAAATCACCGGCTTATCTACCTATCGAGTTGTTCACAGAGAAGAGCTTTCAATAGGAGAGAGAAAAAGAGAGAGCGTGTGTGTGAGAGAGAGAGAGTGTGTGTGAGAGATAGATAGAGAGAGAGATGAAGCAGTACAGCTGGTAAGTTAGGAGAACAAGCAAACAAACACACAAACAAACAAACAAACAAACACTACAACAAAAAACAAAGAAAAGCAACAATTTAGGATCTTTTCTCTCAATTCACCCCAAAATATTGATTCATTCCTAAATAAAAAGAATTTATATTTGCTAAAATTCATACCAAATTCTCCCTGAGCGAAGCCATTGCATTGAACTCTGGTTGAGTTGACCTTTACGATCGCCCCAAATGTGGACGACACGGGTGAGCTATTTCTAAGCGTGGGATATACACCCGCACTCTTACCGATAAAACACGTCAAAAACAGATTTTTATTTTTTTTTAAATTGTAAAAAATTCCTTGTAAGTACCTCGAATATCACCCGCATTTACGAAATGTGAATAACTCCCTGATTTTTGGTAATTTTTCAGTCTTAGGGTTGAAGTTGTTGCGAGGCAAGCTAAACAATTTTTTATTTAAATTTTATAATTTTAAAAGAGTGTCAACAATTTATTAAAAAACAAACAAACTTTGATTTAAAATTTATAATCTCCTGGGGTGAATTAATATTTGCGCTAAGTAATTTTACATTATTTGATGGGAATTAACAGAAAAAAAAACTATTGTCCTAATTTTTGTCGCCATATTTATTACAATGTTTTGGCTGTTGTTAGCTCCGGCCTTCTTCAGGTGGTTGGAATGTCGAATTGAACCCTTTATTTCGCTCACTGGGGTAGTTCTGTTCTAGTTCCACGTGCCATGTTTAATGGATGTCAACGTTTCGGCTGTTTACAAAAAATTTTCTTCAAGAAAGAAGGCCGGAATTTTAAAACCGAAATTGTAATCTGTTTGGCGAAAAAGATGAGGACAATGTGTCCAAATAATGTAAATAGTGTCCATAATACTTTATCTCAGTAATATGGACAGATACTGAAAGATCCACAATTTAAATATAAATTCATGTTTGTATTCATAAGGTCACAGTTGATTTCATTTGGTCTTTTTTAAGTCAAGCGCGTCGACATTTTATTCATGGTATTTTTCAGCGTCCACACGTTGCTACAGAATGTAACACAAAGTCGAAGTTTTCAGTGGGTTTGCCGGCAATACTGTGGAAAAATTATCCAAGCCACCTCATCACTTCCGTTGTGTGGAAAAATAAGTGAAATTACCTGCGTGTATAATCTGCGGTCTTTACTTGGTGGCAGGTTTTTTGTGAATGCTGTTTATGCTCGAATGCGAGGCAACCCCAAGCTCGAATTAAACATAATCTTTTTCCTTGCTAGAACATGCGTGGTCAGCCCCAATCTAATTTTTCTTTCTTTCTTCCTGCCCTTTTCTACTTTTTTTTTTTATAAGGAACTTATGATTTAAATTCGTTTGTTTTTTTTCTCCGTAGTTAATTGATAAAAGTTTGGCATTGGGTCGGAAAGAAGGTGATGTTAATAAAACTTGCTGTACTTGGATTTTAGCTAATCTTTAGAGTCGAAATGAATTTTCAATTTTTTTACGCCTTAGGATAAAAATAAACCAAACCGCCCTCGAAGGCGAGGACTACTGCCATAACATCGGGGAAAGAAAAAAGAAGGTTTAAATTTTTTCATATTTTATTAATATCGGAGCCTTTTTCTGTTTCATGCTTAAGATTTGTCAATGAGGCAGTATCTTTCTGTGACGGTAAGAAAGAAATAAAACTGAGGGAAAGAAAAGGTTATTCTGGGGGAAACAAAAAAAAAATGTTTATCAAATTCCACCATGATATTTACGAAATATATTTTGGAAAGGTATGAATCCACCACTTCTTCTATGAATTAAATAGCAGCACCTGTATATCAAAAAATCATTGTTACACATACTAGTTCTTTCCAATTTTTCTTTAAATATCAATTGCATAAAAAATAAAAATAAAAACAATCATTTACTCACTTTTGTTTATTAGGCATTAAATTATGTCACTTACCATCTTCCATAATTTACCTCGACTTTTCAGTTCAGTTAGCCTCATGAATATTTATGAGTGTCTTTTAAATTTTAAAATAATTCGAAAAACTAACAACATTTTTACTTTTGTTTCTAAATAATTGTTGCAAAATAAAATCTTTATATTTGCCTTGATAAAGTCCATTAAAGGATGAAACACATCGGCTAAGATAAGTTTTCGTTTTCTCTTTATTCACAATTGTCCTTTTATCAAATTTATTTTTAGTTACATCTATAAATTTTCAGGGAAACACACACACATATATATATATATATATATATATATATATATATAACCTTATTCTTCGACCGGGTTTTTTTCTGGAAGTTTACTAATTTTTGCCGTTCAATTGGAGCAGTTTAAATTTAAATCAGCCCACCTGAAAATCAATATGGGTAGTAAAAACAATTGGGTGCAACTGAGGCACATACCCAAACGAGGGGGTGTTAACAATTTGAAGGGGGGATGAACCTGAAAAGGGCCGTTTTTGTGTTCTCAATCTTGCAAGGAAGGAACCTTTTTCATGGACCGTCATAATAATAATATACGATAATTTTTTATTTATAATATAATTTTTTTGATAATTCTAATCTTTTGTGTTAGATTTCAACGCTCTAAATTAATTGTACGCTGTTTTTACAGACATTAAATTTAGCCTTTAATTTCTGCGCAGTGTAAAAAATCAATTTCTTTGATTTTTCATCTTCAAGGTTGTAATTTTTTCCAGCCAATTTGTTGTAGTGTTTGTTTGTCTGTTTGTTTGTGTGCTTGTTTATTTGAAGAATTATCTATTAAACGAAAAAATATTCAACGAAATCGGATGAAAGCTCTGGAAACGCATAAACAACATCCACAAAAATCATACATATTATTTAAAAAAATTGTGTTTTTGTGTGTGTGTGTGTGTGTGTGTGTGTGTGTGTGTAATGTGTGTGATTGTGTGTAAAAATATATAGAAATATCAAAAGAACTCGTTAGGTAAAAATAATCTATAAAAATTTATTTTTGAAGATGGAACAGGCTTGGTACTTTAATTCAATTTAATTCAAATAATTATAATGTTTATGGCTTTTGTTTTTGTTTAAAAAACTCTTATGTGCGTTGGAATCATATTTTAAATAAATAATTATATATATATATATATATATATATATATATATGAAATAGTATATTATTTCAAAATATTGTCTGAAGGTGTGCTATATTTCTGGGAAAAATATCTCGATATCAGAGATGATTTGTCTAAATAAAAAGTGAAACATAAAAGTCAACACTTAGAGGCGAATATCTGTTTCATGCTATATGCAATCGCAATAAAAATAATGTTGAGAATGGTAAAAAAAAAAACATATGTAACAAATTGAAATGTTTTCTTAGTTCTTAAAATTTGTCTTAAAAAATATCAATCACTATTTATTTATGTGGCGTTAAATTGGCTTTTCTTATTTATTACAATCCTAATTTTATATTTCAATATTCTAAAAAATGCAAAAATACTATTAAATTGTTCTTACATTATAGGAAACCATTTTTTAACTTACCTTCTCCTGGGCAATTATTTATTGTTTAAAAAAGTGTAATTAAAATTGGAATAAATCTTAAACATAATAATTTATGCATTTTCTTTGTTTTGAGAAATACAACAAAAAAAAATAAACATTATTTATTAGAATTTGTAAAATAATTTTATATTTATAACATTCTAAAAATAATGCAGAACTTTTTTTTGAAAAATCTTTCTCATCCATATTTATGATTTCAGTCAAACGTGCCATTTCTGATTTCTTTATTGAAAAAATGTAAAAGATTAAACTGACTATAATTCTTTATTCACAGTAAATTGCCATTTCTGTGCTGCGTTGACCAGTTGCCATAAAATAAAAGGCTTTTTTACAGCCCGGATTCCTTTAGTACTAAATAAAAAGTTTCTTAAATTTTTATCATGTTCTTTCACGCAGATCATCATCCAAGCATGTTTTCTGTTATCTCAAATGACTGATTGCTAATATTTTTGTTAAAATTTCTAGTTTAACTAATCCTCTGTCTATTTCGGATCTGGGCAAAATGAACAATCAAATATTTTATTATTATTATTAATATAATTGAAATTTCATAAATAAAACCATCTCAATATAAAACTATATACTACTTGTATCCTTTATAAACTCCATATACAGAAAAACCAATTTAAAGAAATTGTCATTTCAATAATATACAAATAATGAATCAAAGTACTTTTGATGATAAGCTGGCGTTTTTCTTGAAAAGAATGGAAATGAGTGACTTTTAAAAAAAGCAGTTAATATTTATTCAGTATCTTTTCTTTAGAATTCTTAATTCATGATGAAAGTTATTAATATATTTTTTCTCTGTATTTCTGTATCGCCAGCTTAGGAAAAATAGAGCTTATAATATATATATCAAAAAGATAATTAATTTAAAATAAAAAAATATATCTTTCAATTGGCTTCGATCCGACTCAGTATCTGGTACATATCGGCCTTCACTGTGTTTAAATCTTAGTCCAATCAAACAGTTCCTTCACCCTGTC